CGCTGCACGATCGGCGCTCGGTTCAGCCACCGACAGAGCAGATCAGGCACCACAGCGACAACATAGGAAGAGGGAAGACATCGTGGATGACGACGACGATTGGTAATATCATGTCCCTCTCCTGTGTGTCATTTATTTAGCGTGCATACGGAGGCTGTACTTTTAGACATTGTATTCATACTTTTGTTTTCACATTGTATGTGTACTATATGTAGATGCTATGCATTTGTACAATTTTAGTTGTTAGATTTAGGCCGTTTGTGTTTCGCAGGATTGCGGTAGCGCAGTGCTCACGATTTTGTTTTGTTTTTCATTTTTTTGTCTTGGATGGCGGTACATCATTTCAATGATTTCATGTTTGCTGACTCTTGAGTGGATGCGTCATTGACGCCACGACATTGCGTCAGACTCTCTCGTCTGATTGCCAGTATTATTTGAGTTGTTCAGGTTCTTTGCGTGTGTGCACATATCTCACAACTTTTGTATGTCTCATTGTTTTCAATTGCGTTTGTTTGTCAGCTTGTTTCCAGTTGTGCATGTATGATTGTTTTCAGTTGCATGTGTTTGTTTGGTGTAGTCATGACTTGGACAGGGGTTTGTGGCTGGGGTTGGGGGGGGCACAAGGAAGTTAGGAGAGCGGGGGGTTGGGGGGTCGGGTTATTGGTGTTCAAGCCTGAAGGGCTATTTTTCACGTCCATGAAAGGTCGCCTCGGGATGACCCTCTGACTTCCTTTTTTTTCTGTTCTTTTTTCCCATGGCTACGATCCGGACATCCGGACCGACGTCCAGACGGTCTGGATTCAGTCCGGACTCCAGACATCCGGTCTGGAAGGTCCGGATCTGCCAAATTTTGAGGGGGGGGGGGGGGGGGAAACGGTCCAGGACCCTTCCCCATTGAGGAACCAAGCCCCCAAAACTGTTTTGGTGGCCTTTCAGGCCCGTTTATGCTTTGTTTGGGGGTCCGGACATGCTCTCTCTCTATTATAATTTATTAGACAACCCCATTTTTTTAATTATTAATAATTCATTACCTTTTATTAGTTCTTAAACTTTAAAGTCTTTTTGTAAGCCTTTTTATAGTTTTTGACTTTTAACTAAAGTTTGGTTAGGAATTCTGACACGACTCTGAGGCAAAAGTGGTTTGCATTGTTATTCTGCATAACATACTTTTTTTTCAGATTTTTTTTTTTTTATAAAATGGTCCAGACATTTCCGGACCTGTCCAGACATCCAGACCGTCCGGATCCCCCTATGTCCGGAGGTCCGGAAATGTCCGGAAACTACCGGACACGCGTCCGGTTCCATGTCCGGAAATGTCCGGGTCCGGTCCGGCGTAGCCATGTTTTTTCCTGATCTCCTGACCTACATTCCTCCCTGCCCACTAATTGTGTGAAGTTCATACGAACCAGAAAAATGAAAAATAAATAGTAAACGGTCAAGGGTCGTCCCAGGACCCCCATTTAGGGAAGGGGAAAAAAGAACCTCAAACACCACCAGCAGCTTCCCCCCCCTTCCCCTGAAAATGCCATTGCCCCCAAAACCGGTCCTTAGACCCCCCCTGCACGACCCCCCAACATCCCTCTGACCGAAGCATGCTAAGTTGCAGTTGGAAGGGTGGTAGGGGACACCCAAGATGCTGAAGAGGGCTATTTGTCCGGGTTTGTGGGGCAGAGGAATGACGAGGGGGCGGGGGGGGGGCGGTGGTTTAAGAGGGTCATTTTCTGCATTGGCCCCCCGAACTTTTTTTTTTTTTTTGGCTATGCGAGGAGTCGAGGACTTACACCGCCATGCGACTGTCGTGGCATTCCGCCCTTCCCATCCCCCCCTAAAAAGTTTGGAACCCCCMCCCAACCCCCMCCCCMAACCCCCCAGAAAAAGTTCTCCTTTTTTTTTTTTGGGGGGGGGGGGCKGGGGGTGACCCCCGGCTCCCGCACCCCCCTGCCATCATCATTTCTTTGTGGAGAACCCTTAAGGGCCCCAAATGCGATCGGGGCCATTCGGATGGCCCGTCCGGAGGGCTGGGCGCCCATGCGTACAGCTGTTTCAGGCGTATGGATGGGCCGGTTTACATACACAGGACGACACAGTTCAACGGAATGCATGTGCACTGTGAATGCAGGTAGCTTCCCGTTTTCATTTGCACTGGCATCCTTCCCCCAGATCCTGTCTTTGTTTGCCCTGTTATCCCTTTGTCCAGATGCCGTTGTATGATGCTCCTTATGGCCTACCAGCTCCTATCGGTATTACCAACGGTTTAACAACTCCAGTGATTACAATGTAATTTCCCCACTTAGTTGCATTCCCTTGTGCAATCCTTCTTTTTTACTTTTTTTTTGTGCTGCGCTGTACTTGGGAAAGTGTTTCCTCGGGAAGGAGATGAATTCTTTCAACAACTACCTACTTTGCATCAAGGCTATGAAACTATTTAATTATATGAATCAGTTATGCTCTTTTCCTCTTTAGTGCACATCCTCTCCGGGCCATTTGCCAATTTCACCAGGCCTTCTCCATGCGTCCACCTTGAAAAGAGAGAAAACACCGGTTATGCAAAAGGGCATCTGGATCTTCATCACCTTCATTCCCTTTATTTGCTAGGGGCTTGTAGCACTGGAGTTTCCAGTTCAGAGGGGCACATCTTCCAGAATCCTCCTACCAACCAGAAGGGCCTGCTGACTTGGGAAAAAACTGGACCCATTGGATGAATCTGGTCTGGTTTGTTGGGCGTCCAATTATTCAGCGCATGCTTGCCTTCGCTGCAGTAAAACCCTGACGTTTGACATCTGCAAGCATGCATGTACGATTCCGTTACACCCCCCAACCGCCGCCTTCCTCCCACCTGCAAGCCTGTGGGATCATCAGGGTTTACTGGGGAGCAGGGTCAAGTGCGCCTCCAAGGATGTAGCCATCATCATGACTTACAGCCTTTATTCCCCTTTGAAGCTGCAATGATGGCTTCCAAAGCCGCCTCCTCTCCGCGTCATCTCTCTTCGTCTTGGCAGATTGGCCTCACCCCGTGCACCCCTCTGTGGTTCTCCTCCGGAGCCTCCCTTGCTATTTACAGCTGAGCCACTGAGGTTGCAGGTGGGTCAATATCTGAAACTTGGTATGGTTGGGGCATCAGTTCAGAATCCAAGCTTAGACCAGGATTGGATCTGGTCTATCTGTTTTGCACATGGAGATTTCTGACCCGCAATTCCTTTTGGCAGCAGACAAGCTGGGATCCTTTCCTCTCTCCATATGCGCGACTTCAGGAACCGTCTGCAAGACAAGCAGGTTATGGACAGTGATTGAGTAGCAGGAAGGGAACAGGGTAGCCACTCACTGCCTCAATGATCTCATATCTTGGCCATCCATCAGAAGCTAACCATTTGCAGTCATTTACAGAATAAGTCCAAACAGCATTACCATAGTCCCTGAATCAAACTCTGCAGGTTAATAGTCAGGTTGTTTATTCTAGATAATGCTATGACTTTAAGACAGGTCACAAAGATCAGCAGTACAAAAAAAAGACAGCAGCAAGCCTCTTCTTTGACTTCAAAAAAGCTTCTGATCAAGTCCATTGGGACTTCTTGCAGCTATGTATGGAAAGGATTGGAGTGGGACCCAACTTCTGTGTATGGGTGAGAATTCTCTTCTCTATACCGACACACAGGGGATAGCACAAGGAAACGGATTCCTATCAAAACCGTGCAAGAGGACTAGATTGGTGCATCGGGGAGACCCCTTGGCAGCACCCATCTCCCTTTTCGTAATGAAGGCCATTGCATTCTTCTGAAGAAAAGAGTCAAAGGCCCTTCAATATAAAAACTGATGGACATTAGGGACGAGAGAGGAACTTATTAACAAATCCCTATCGCAGTACTCTTTGTAGACGATCTAAACTGTGTTAAAGTAATATGACTCCGGGCTTATACGGACGACACAGGCCTCTGAGTCCTCCTTCAAAGCACTAACAAGGGCAATGCAAGCATTCCAATTAGCCTCAGAGATGAGCATCAATGGGGCAAAGACGATAGGCTGGTGGCTACCCCCACACCAACAGATACTGTAACACTGGAGGGACTACAATGGGTAGACTGCACTCAATCACTAAGATGCCTACCGATAAGATTCATTATCAAGATGTCACCCATAATCAGCCCCAGATCAGGTGTTCTCTATGCCAAACAAAATGCAGTGCTGCAGCAAACATGTACGTCGATATTTGGAAGAGCCCTGATTCCAAATAAATAACTCAGTACTAGCAACAATATGGTATGCTACATCCACATGGCTCCCTGCAGCAAGCCTCCACCAGCCCACACAGGGAAAAGTAGCAGTCTTCCTGTGGACTGGAAATCCAGATAAGGAGCAGTTCATCCATAGGGTAGCATGGAAGATAGCTACGCAATTCCAACCATAGGGGGGGGCTTAGGAATCATAGATCTGGATTGACAAATTCAGGCCCTACAGAATAAGAGGGTAATCAGGATCA